TGGACATAGTTCACTCTGGGGAAGTAGGGACAGAAACCCCTGAGGCAGACAAATTGAGCAATGATCAAAGATTGTCTCCTCAATAGCAGGCAGAATACCTACTTCGATGAGCCTACAAAGAACTTTCACATTCTTGAACTTACCATCTGTTCTCCATCTCTTTTTCCATTTTCCACATTTAATGTTGGCAGTTATCCTTATAATAGTGACCATTTTCCCGTTTTTGTATCTATCACACGAGAAAGACTAAATTCCATGCCAAGATCTCCCCGTTTTATACTTACTGGGGTGAACTGGAACCTGTTCTTGTCTTGTGCAAAGATCACAGAAGAGATGGTGAAATATGTGCCAATCGACAATGCTGTGAAAGCAGTCATGGATGTCATTATTCAGGCAGCTACTGCATCTATTCCGATAACATCAACGAAGCTTCCTAAGTACACAAAACCGTGGTGGAACTGTAAATGCCAAGTTACACTGAAGCAACAGAGAAAAGCTTGGGGAGTTTTTCATAGATACTTGACTTTGTCAAACCTTATTGCTTTCAAAAAAGCTAAAGCAAATGCAAGAAGAATGAGGCATTAAAAGCCAGAGGGATTCGTGGATGTCCTATGTGTCTGGAATAGCATCCTCTACCACAAGTAAACGAATATGGGAAAGAGTTAGAAAAGCATGCGAGCTGTACAAAGATCACTCACTTTCCTTTCTGGAAAAAGATGGGCGAGTGATTAGCACACAGTTTAGAAGAAATCGCAAACATTATTGGCGGGAATTTTGCTATTTCTAGTGGCAGTAATTATTCGCCGGCATTTCTTTCTGTCAAGCTAGGCTCTGAGAAAGCTTCTATTGCATTTAACTCTACCAACTGCGGGCCATATAATAGCAAATTACAGTTTCGGAGCTAAGAACAGCTTTGATGCAGACACATAGTACCAGTCCCGGTTTAGACGGTGTGAAATATGAAATGCAGAAGCATTGACTGCCTTTCTCACCCTTTATTACAGAGTTTGGAAGGAGCATAATTTTCCGAATGCATTCAAGGGAGCTGTTGTCATTCCTATAACCAAGCCAGGGAAAAACCCGAAGATTCCCTTTATTGGCCCATTGCGCTTACGAGCTGTATTTGCAAACTATTTGAAAAAACAGTAAACTGCCGCCTAGTCTATTATCTCGAAAAAAGCAATATAATCTCCCCTTATCAGAGCAGTTTCAGAAAAGGAAGAATGATGATAGATAATATGCTCCTGTTGGAGACATCTATTTGTAAAGCCTGCATTAAACAAAATCATCTTGTTGCCCTCTTCTTTGACATCGAAAAGGCTTATAAGGCATGGAGATATGGTATTCATGCTTCTTCGTAGGATCTTCATGCTAGTGGCTTGTGTGGCAACCAACCAATTTTTATCCAGAACTTCTTGAAGGCAAGAACTTTCTGAGTAAGGATTGGCTCTGTTTCATCGAATAACTTTGAACAAGAGGGTGTCCCTCAGGGCTGCATTTTAAGTGCGACTTTCTTTAGTTTAAAAATAAATTCGGTTTTAAAAAAGCTTCCTCCTACAGTTTCAGGATCATTGTATGTTGATGACCTCAAGATAAACTGCTATGGTGCAAGTGTGAGATATGTTGAGAGACAGTTGCAGATTGCCATTAATAGAATCCAGAAATGGTCCAAAAAAAAAAAAAAGGATTTGTGTTTTCAAAAGAGAAGACTATGCACTTGTGTAAATAGCGAAGTCTTCATCCTGAGCCTGAGCTGCATCTTATGGACCAGAGATTCCAGTTGCATCAGAAGTAAAGTTTCTAGGAGTGTTGTTCAACCAAAAGCTTACCATCCTTCCTCATGTCCAGTATTTGTGAAAGAAGTGTTTCAAGAATCTAAATCTCTTAAAAGTGTTGGTGACGGCACAGAGCGCTGCTCTTTACTTCGTATTTATAGAGCACTCCTTCGCTTTAGACTAGACTATGGCTCAGTTGTTTACGGATGTGCATGGCCTTCAGGTTTGTTAAAACTAAATCCTATTTGTCATCAGGCTTTGAAAATTTGTCCTGGAGCTTTCGAGACATCTCCTATCCAGAACCAGTATGTTGATTGTTACGAACCAGCTCTTGAGTTAAGGCATGAACAAGTGTCTTTTCATTAGTATTTCATTATTAATTCACAAACTAATCATCCTCTCCAGATCTGTAAGCTTGATGACAACTATAAACTTCTATTTTCTGCACGGCCTCATAACATTCTTCCATTTTTCGAAAGATGTGAATCACTATTGGAAAATCATTGCCTATCAGATGATAGGTCCAGCCATTAATTCACCTTGGGATCACCCACAAATTGAGCTCCTGGACTTATTTCAACACCTTGATAAGAGACACTAATGAGGAAATATATGTGGGAATCGTGCTTCAATGATGCACCAGATGGCGTTATATACATGTATGGTAGAAACCCTCTAAGTAAATACATGGCACTTTGTTCGAGAAGTCCAACAGAGGCAGTCTAACGGAACACTCACTAAGGAGCTACAACAATACGCTTACTGGTCACGCATAGATGATTAGACCTGGATTTTTCTAAAGTGACCACACGTAGGTGGTCAGCTGTATCATTTACTTGTCCATACTGGAACCATTGCTGTGATTCCTCTCCTAAACATACTCAGTTCATCTGTAGATACTCATCTCGTTTATCTTTTCTTCTGTGAACCAGGAAATGAAACCTGATTCTTTGAACAGTGGGTGCGATCTCTGTTTAATGATAAGACATCATTCCCACATATATAGGCAATTTTTTTTAGAACACAGGGACCAATACAGAGCTTTTGTTCCCATATATGCAGGTGGGTCAAAATCAGCTAATCATGTAGAAGCATCACTCGCAGTAAAAAAACCGTATTGACAGCAGTCAATTACATGATGCTTTTTCTATATTTAGCCCCGAAATTACTGCTCTGTATTCTGCACTTACATTTATCTCAAAGCAGTCTGAGAACGAGCTCATATTTTATTCCGACTTATTATGTGCTCTGAAGTCTTCAGTTAATTTTACTGACTCTCGAAATTTTCTATTGGCAGACATTTTAAGTTTACATCGAAAATTACAAAAGGGTAGGTATGAGACTGTTGGGTCCCTGGCCATGTAGGCATAAAAGGAAATGAGCTTGCAGATGCAATAACAAAGTCAGCAACTGTTTTATTGAACCAGCTTGTCTCTTGCAACGACATTAAAACTGTCATCAAACAGACAATGTTAAATAAATGGAAATTATTTTGGGATGGTCTGTTTTTAAATAAATTGAGGAGTGTAAAATATAAAGTAGATAAGTGGAAGACGACTAGACACAAAAAGGAGGAAGTCTTGTTAACAGGCCTAAGATCAGTCACTCTCAAGTCGCACATCTTTTGAAGGCCAAGAGGGAACCCCTTTGTTCAAATTGTAATTATGTTCCGTCCATGCATCATTTTCTAATTGAATGTCTACATTTTAACTATTTTTGAGTAATGTATTTTAGTGATCGTGATGTGCCTCTTGACCATATTATCGCAAAAGAGGTAAAATAATAATTTGTTTCAGTACCTGAAAGAGACAGGTTTTTATTATTTAATTTGATTTTATTACATGTTATTATGTTAATATTTTAATACTATGTATTTTATTGTATAACGTATTTTACATTTGACTTTAAGCCCATTTTCGTACTGGATACCATGTGAATTTATGTAGTTTTTATGGGCGAATGTCTCATTTGTCATTTGTATTAAATAATTACAAATTTTTTATTGTTTTTAGTTTGCATACTTGTTTTGTATCTTCTACACATGTTTCGACGCTAACAACCTTTAAAGTTTTGTGCCATGAAATTCACTATCACCATCATCATATTTATGAAAAAAAAAAATAGTGAATTGGTTTTATCTTCTCTAGTCAGTTCTGCGCTAAATTCTGTCAATGTACTGCAAACTGCTAAAATATCACATATATTTTTTTACTCTTAGTTTTTATTTGACATTGCACAAATAGCTAGTAATCATAAATCTGAAACTTTCTTTAAACTCTTAAAATCGATTTTTAAGTCTTTCTATCTACTTTTATGACAGCTCATTGACCACTTTCTATACCAGTCATTTAGTACAGCTATGATTCATCTGTAGTCACAGAAATATTCCATTGCTTCCAAAATTGAGAAGATACTAAATTCACTACCATTTCCCAAATTCAGCATATGTTACAAAAGCTAATAAAAGCTAATTTTAAAAATAATCTTTGAAATACTAATTTTTATTCAATAAACATTTAACATTCTGTTTCATGTAGAAAGCAGTAGTTGCAGTTTTTCCCTTTCCTTATGAATGATATTGTTTATTGTTCTCTTAGCTATCTTGATTCTAATATTCTTGTATCTTATTAAGAAATGAAACTATTTTTCTTTAGAAAGTGCAGAAGTATCTGAAATCCAGAATTTCCAAAATTCATTTACATAAGCCATTGTACCAAACATTATAAAAACTTTCACTGCAGCAGACAGTAATTTATCTCTCATTGTAATAGCCTTTGCAATTAATTGTTTATACTTTATTAATGTTATTTATTAGCTGAAATCAAAATCATTAAAAATATGCAAGTAGCCTGTATGCTATAGCATTCATTATTTATATATATTTCACAGAACATCTTCACAAACTTGAAATCATTCATGCATTTACTTGTCTTAGAAAGTATTACTTGTGGAAATGAAGTCACTAATTGAACTAGAAAAGTAAACAAATATACTTCTGTGCAGAATTTGTACATCGATAATTGTAAATGATAGAAAATTGTAACCAAGAGCATGGTATCTTTGATAAAAACGTTAAATTCAAATCTTATATATTATTCTGCATTACCTTCTTTCATTGCAAGAGCTTCTTTAAAAATATAGGATTTTTTATTAAATTTTCATTCGTGATAAATATTGGTAGCTTCTTGTAGCTAACATTTAATTGCTTACTAATTATCCTTTCAGATGGGTTGTTTATGAAAACAAGCGGCTTCCTGAAAATCCATTTTTCTTCTGTAAACAATGTTTCAAAAGTTTTAATTATGACGAAAGTAATCGGAAAATCGGGAATTTCAGAGCATATCACTACGTCGATAGAAGTGTTTTGGCATAAACATTTTTTCATAGATGTTTGTTGGAATAAGAGTTTTTTTTTTTTTTTTTTTTTTTTTTTCATTTGAATTTTAACACATACCTTTGTACAGTTAATTATGATAATTGTATTTATCAATAAATAAATATTTCCTGAGTATTTTCTTAGACTGAGCTATTTTTATACATAGGAAAATCTGCCATTATGCAAGACATTTGAATTAACTAAATGATGACAATGTTTGAGTATTAAAATATGTATTGTGATTGAACTATGGAGAGATAGGTGAATATTTTATTACAGTATTTTTCAGTAAATTGAGAAAGCTGTTGTTCAGTAAACAGTTATGTTAGACATAATTTGCAGTGAATCATCAAAAGCAAAGAATAATCCTCTCAAAAAGAGATTTAAAAAATTCTGATGTATAAAAAAAATTTACCAGCATTTGAACATTACCGATAATCAGTCAAACATTTTCTATTTGTTTTATATATATATTTGACAAATTATACTGTGTATATAAGGACATACAAGGTGTGACACACACACACACACAAAAAAAAAAAAAAAATTGTGTAGTTTGAAAACAGAATGGAGTTGGCAACAACTGTTTTGGTGACATCATGCCACACAGCTCCTCTATCCATGCAGCCAGTTCCGACTTAACCGACCACACCAGTGGGGAATACTGCATTATTGAGTGAACACGTGCAACTGCATTCTGCCAGAAACATGTCTAATGTAAAAACCGAGCAGCGAATCAACATCAAGTTTCTTGTGAAACTTAAAAAATCAGCCATGGAGGAAACAGTTCAGATGTTAAGCGAGGCTTAAGGAGATGAAACTTTGTCGCATGCCCATGTGTTTGAATGGCATAGCAGTTTTCAGGGAGAAGGGACAGTGTGGAGGATGATGAACTTGCTGGGCCAGTGCCTTCTAGATATATAAAGCCATCGGACTGGTCTGTGACGTCACAGCACTAGGCCGTAGAATACGAAACGGCGGAACTTCTGATAGCGATAATTTCTCCGTGCATATGAGTATCAATTTGCATAAAATAATGAACTCTCAGAATAATCCAGAAACTATATTTCCACAATAAAAGGTTATGTTACTATCGGAATATCTTTGAAAACGGTTTTTAATTGATTAGACTGATATTACTTAAAATTAAAATATATTTCTTTAATGATTAAGAATACTTTTATGATGGTGCCTGCAAATTTAAGATTATGAGAAAGTAAGTGTTCCAAAATGTTTTTATCACCTCAATAACAATTATTTTGATAATTATTTCAAATAGTTTAATTATGAAATATTTTTAAATGAAATCATAATTCTTATTTCTTTCAGACTAGATTCTTAATAAGAAACACCGTTACTACTAGCACACTTTTAATGCTGCTGATCACATTCTTTAACATGAATCAGACAAAGCTTCTATAAAAAATTAAACAGACTTCATATTTTTATTTTCTGTCTATAAAAAAATAAATAAAGGGAAAACTTTAAGGAAGAGAAATATTTTTTTTAACTCTCATAGCTTTTTAAAACTTTCATAGCTTTTTAAAAGAATAAATACTTATTTAAGGTAAAATAAACATTATTAACTTTAAAATTAAAAAGAGTAGCTTCTAACAAAATTATCATAATTATACTCACTTTACAACACAGAAGCAATAAAACTCATTAAAGATGCATTAAAATTTTATATGTAATGTAATAAAATTTGATACTTAGCAAAACTTCATTATCTTAAATATCAAATTTAGTTTCATAAAATTATTAGAAGCTGAATTTTCAAATCATTTAAAAATCTAATATAACACCGAGTTTTATAGTTTCGAGTCGCTAAATCTAAACTCTCCCCCTTAATTGCCCGAAACTCCGCTTTATCTTTTAAAAACAAAATACTCATTTATAAATCTTTTTTGAGGCCCATTATCACTTATGCGTGTCCTGTCTGGGGTTATGCCTGCAAAACTGCTATAGACAAATTGCAAACTCTTCAAAGTGTTACTTTAACTCTTTGAGGTTCAGTAAGAAAAAATTTTTTTGGAAAAAATAACTTTACACATAGATAACTAGCTCCTAATACAGTGTTATTTCATGCAAAAAAACAGGTAAACCTTTAAGGTAATTCATAACATGGTGGGATACCGCTTGTCCCACCGTGCACCTAGAACAGTAAAATGGCATCTTTGCCACAGTGTAAATTCTCCTAACATGCTTATCTAAAGTGCTATGAACCAAATGAAAATGCAAGATATAAAAAACGTTTTTGAATAATTATCTAGAAAATATTGATCATATTTGCAAAATAAAAAATATGTTTAAAAAAAAAAAAAAAACGCTTCGTACGGTCCTTAAGTTTTTTGGAATCGATTTTTGGTCCTTAAAAAAGTCCTTAATTTTAGCCAAAATCGCCAGAAGGTCTTTAATTTTAATCATCTGAAATTTCTGTCTGTTTTTACGACTGCCATTTTGGGTGTGAATTAGCATTTTGCAGGAATATTTTTGGCGATTCAATGACAAATATGACTTTTTTTTAATGAGTTCATGAGTTATAATTTGTTCCTGTTTGTAATATATAAATAAGGTTGGAATACTCGAGTTTCTGAGCAAGAAGTGAAACATAAGCATTTCAAAATTAATTAATTTTTTGTAATTAAGAGCTCTCAAACAACTTTCCGCTTTTGGGAATGTGAATTCTTCTATTAAAGGGTTCTAAATTTGGCGACTTATCAATATTTTGGCGATTTTAAGATCGGTTTATATGGAAAAATTTTAATTCCGAAATTTGGGAAATTTTTGGCGACTTTTTTAGAGCATTCTAACATTTTTAAATTTCATTCAAACAATGGTAATGTATTAAAATTATATTTAAGAAATAACGTTAAAATAAAGCATTTTTATTTTTCATTGTCATATTATAAAGTTCCATTTTCGCCACATATTATACAACGTTTTGAATCTGAAAAATAAGCAAGGTATAATGCTATAAAGCACAATTTACGAATTTTACAAAAGCAAAATAGCTATGTAATTAATTAAAAATGTCTTTTTAATTTTTTTCATGGTAAGAATTTTTCCCATTTTTCAGAATGATCAGAATTCTCAGAATATGCATCAGTTTCTCTATAAAAGTAATTCACTTTTTCTCCGATTTTTTCTAAAAACATTTCTGGATTTTTGCTGTTACAGAACTGGTAGGGGTAATTTTTTTAGTATTTTGACACTGAGCTTGGAAAGTTGAGAAAGATTTCAAGGCAAATTATAAACCCACGATTCTAAAAGATTCTAGAAAAAATGTGATAAGATGAAAAATGTCTCCATGGTAGTAACACGCAGTTCTACATTTGGAGAACATCTGGAAGAACAATGAAAAAATAATAGTTAATGTTTTACTTTGATTCTAAATCGCTTTCAACATTTTTATCTTCCCTTTATTTTCTCTATTTTTACTAGATACAAACATGGAAAATTCAAAAGTACTTCTATCTTATCATATGGACAGGCATTATAGAAAGAAATTTTTATTAATAAAAAAATTGAAAACTGACAATTAAAAAAATTCATCTAATATGTCAATGTATCATACACAGAGCTGGCGCTAGGCGTTTTGCCACCTGATGCAGTCTCTGTGGATCCTAAATTCTGCTTTCAGTGCCTGCTCTAAATTCTAAAAGTTTTGCCATTTCTAGATTTTTTTGCTTAAAGTGTCCCTAAATTCTAAAAATTATGCTACACCAGCTCTGTGACCAGACCTTACCATATGTATTTCATATTTCTTCTGAATGTTCGTATTACTAAAAAAATGAAATTAGCAGCTTTTTCCATACATTCTAAATGCATTTAGTCTTTTATAATAATAGAAGTCTTTAATTAAATCCCAAAAATTTTAAGTGAAAAGCAAACATGTTGAAAAAAGAAATTAAATATGTAAAGAGAAAGAAAATCATTCTTCAAAGATATGTACAGTTATTATGTAAATTACCCAGTTCTTTACAGTTTCAGCCTTTACTATAATTTCCCATTTCTATTTCGTCATCAGAATGCAAATCACTTAGACAGTTTTTAAACTGAGTTTATTGGAGTGTAAGACGAGTGTTTCTGCACTCCACTTGCTCCCTGCATTAGTTCCTGTCAGCTCTGAGGATTTGTAATTATTCGTCTTTCCATTACTGCTGCTGACACTGGAGTTTATTATGACAATAGAGGTACTGAACCAGATTAAATTGAAATTAAATTGTATAGTTTTTGACCACCAGTCCATATTTTTAGTTTGAATTTTACTCTTCTTGTTTAACTATATCACCACAAACTGTATTTTATTTTGTTAGCATAAGAACATGCCTATATGTTCCAAGTTCTTTTTAAATAAGAAGCTTATTTAAATTTATTATCTGATTTACAGTTACTTTCAGACATAGGGATAATTTGTTTCACATTTGTGGGGGGGGGGGAAGTCGGACTGTTTAACTTTTACCAGATCAAGTAAACCCTCATATGTAGTACATTGTGAAGAGTTTGGCAGTTAGGAGATAAAACACTCAGAAACTAATGAGAGCATTAGGGTTTTGCATATTGAGACAAATTTCTAATTGTTAGAAAACATGCTTAAGGAGAAGAAAAATCGATATAAATTAGCCAAAAGTCTGGGCAGCCTTCAAATTAAAAAGACGCATAATATTTGTTGAGTTTATGTTTTGTAGCTTTAATGTGTAATGATCCTAATATTGTTTAAAAATCAGTGTCATAAATTGTATGTATTTTAAACTGTGAAATTTAATGTGATATTAATAGGGTTTTTTAACAACTATTACAGTCAAAAGTCGTTAATCCGGACTCGTCGGGACTTCGGCGATTCCGGATTATCGATTTTTCCGGTTTATAGATCATCAGTTTAAATCTCGTAAGATGGCATGCAGAAATTCTAAAATTAAAAATATGAAACCATAATTTATGAAATAAAGAACAATTATGATCTAAAGGGATATCAAAATTTACAAATAAAAAAAGCTTAATATTTATTTGTTTACTTTATTAAACATTTCTTTCAATGTAAGTTGTTTAAGTTGCTTCGTTTTATGTGATAATACTTTCTCTTTTTAATTCTATAAACAGACATAATTTCTTGTTCAGTTACAAAGTTTC